TGACACAGAAAAGTTGAGAAAACCAAAACATAACTAGTCTTGACACAAAGAAGTTGATGAAACCAAAACATAACTAGTCTTGACACAAAGAAGTTGAGAAAACCAAAACATAACTAGTCTTGACACAAGAAGTTGCCAAAACATAACTAGTCTTGACACAGAAAAGTTGAGAAAACCAAAACATAACTAGTCTTGACACAAAGAAGTTGATGAAACCAAAACATAACTAGTCTTGACACAAAGAAGTTGATGAAACCAAAACATAACTAGTCTTGATACAAAGAAGTTGAGAAAACATAACTAGTCTTGACACAAAGAATTTGAGAAAACATAACTAGTCTTGACACAAAGAAGTTGAGAAAACGTAAACAGAATTAGCCATTTTTAGTTTAGTTTATTTCAAATCCAAGTAGAAAAAAAAGAAAGTTCAAGGTATTATCTTGTCTTAATTCACATTCAAACCTATGTGATATTAACCAAATGTTTCACACTAGATTTTGTTGTCCTTGTGTGGGAGATGTTAACTAATAATAAAGAAGTGACTACTCCTATATATTAAGTTAAAGAATATGGAACATTTTTTCATATTTGCTTTTGTTCCAGCTATCCTTGTGTATCGAGTGATGCGGAATGAGAGAAAAAAAATTCTAAAACTGATCCATGCAGGATTACACACACTGGCATTTATCTTCGTAGTTGTGGCACTTAAGGCAGTGTTTGATTCCCACAACTTGGCTGCGAATCCCATCCCCAACATGTACTCTCTTCACAGCTGGCTAGGCTTAGCCGCTGTTGTTCTATTTAGTTTACAGGTGAGCAATTAAAATGCTGGTTGTTTACAAATGTATTACCAAAGTATAAGGACATTCTTGGTGCATTCAAGCCACAAAAAATATTTGTGTCTGGGTTATTTTAGTCATTACTTAAAATTTCTGTTTTCATATTTGTTATTGTCTAGTCTATTTGTGAAAGCTAATGTCAGTATTATAACTTTTAGTTGCATAAGTTTTTATTTACATTCCAGTGTAATTATTATAAAAGGCAAATTTCATGATATATTTATCAGATTTTTATTACTTGATTATATACAATAGAAAGGTGATTAAAATATCTTTTAGCAAAATTAATTTTAACACAATACCAATAAACAGGCACAGTTTTATATATTTGTTATAATTTATTCATACTATGTGCAATAACACATTTTCAATGGAAGTTTCCAGAACTTGATCTGTCTGCAAACTTCAACCTGACCCTAATATGTTGTAAAAATATAAAGGAGCATGACAGCAGAAAAACTGCTTTATTTTACCCATCCATAACTAGTAAATAATACGTATGTATTCAGACACATTTTGGTACTTAATTTTAGTTAGAGATTTCCCGGCAAACCTGATATAAAGAGAATGTAATCTTGCTGTTGTCCTCTAGCTTGGGCAAAGGCTACATACAACAATGATTGTTGTGTTGGATTTATACTTACTTGGCCCTATTTCTATGTCATGATCTTTAGGATTGATGTCATGTTCATTTCAAGGGATGGTACAGAAACTTGTACAAATTAGTATGTGTTGGAAATCAATCTTCCTTGAATATTTATAATAGGAAGAATTATTAACATAAGTAATAAAGGAGTGTGGGATACCACAGTGGAAATTTTTTCTCCCTCGAAAGTATATTCTCTTCATAAGTTTGCTTTCTCTCTCTTCATCTTGTTCAATTATTTTATTCTTCTGTATATGCAGCCAGAAAATTCATACAATAAACTTAGAAACTGACCACTGTTCGTAAAGATTCCTGTATTTATGTATAAAAAAAATTAATTTTATTAATACATTTATATTTGATTTTCCGTCTTTGTAATTATTCCCCATGTAACATTTCTGACATCTGCTGTAATGTAGATACTTATAACTCACAGCTGGACATTGTGGTACCTGAATACCACAAAAATAGCTATTACTATACAAAAACAAGAACAGTTTATTTAATGAAATTTTTCTTCCTACATCCATTTATAATGTTTGACAATGTTGTGATTAAAGACTTTCATTAAATTCTTTGATTAATTACATATTGTTATTTAAACAGAATTGCTTTATAACTTACCAATAATTGATCTTTTAATTTTTCTTTAGTTTGTATGTGGCTTTGTGTCATACTTGTTTCCTGGAGTCAGTCAATACTGGAGAGCTTGGTACCTTCCTGTTCACGTATACTTTGGAGTTGTTATCTATGTACTGGGAATCGGAGCTTGTTTGATGGGAATTACAGAGAAACTGATATTCTCCTTGTGAGTAGACACTAGGATGTATTGACCATGAATTAAATAAGTGATAATTCTTTGAATACATAGACTGTATTTTGTGGACGTTTCTTGCCTTGACTTGGCATTAGAGGATGCTTTGGACAGCTGTACAGAAGCCCTCGTCATTTCTGGAAAAGTCCACAAGGTATAGTTTGGATGTTGAAGACATTATACTTTAAATTATTTCATATCTAAAAACCTCTGCTTCTTGTGAGTGGCTATAAGATTGTTATAGAACATCAGTGACTTCTGGTTTTGAATTAGATTCTAAACTTCGTGTACATGAATTAAAGACTTTATTTAAACTTTTTTTCTAGAAAATCAGACTACAAGGATTTGCCTGGAACAGCTGTTTTAGGAAACATCCTCGGTGTAGTGCTAGTTTGCTTTGGAATCTTGATTGTCTACCTTGTGACTACCCCCCAGTTTAAACGTCAGTCGTTACCAGAAGAAGAAAATCTTCAACTGACACCACATTCTCCTATCAACTAATCCTGTTCTATAACTTCCCATTCTCCTGTTAACTAATCCAGTTCTATAACTTCCCATTCTCCTGTTAACTAATCCAGTTCTATAACTTCCCATTCTCCTGTTAACTAATCCAGTTCTATAACTTCCCATTCTCCTGTTAACTAATCCTGTTCTCTAACTTCCCATTCTCCTGTTAACTAATCCTGTTCTCTAACTTCCCATTCTCCTGTTAACTAATCCTGTCCTCTAACTTCCCATTCTCCTGTTAACTAATCCTGTCCTCTAACTTCCCATTCTCCTGTTAACTAATCCTGTCCTCTAACTTCCCATTCTCCTGTTAACTAATCCAGTTCTATAACTTCCCATTCTCCTGTTAACTAATCCTGTTCTATAACTTCCCATTCTCCTGTTAACTAATCCTGTTCTATAACTTCCCATTCTCCTGTTAACTAATCCTGTCCTCTAACTTCCCATTCTCCTGTTAACTAATCCTGTCCTCTAACTTCCCATTCTCCTGTTAACTAATCCTGTCCTCTAACTTCCCATTCTCCTGTTAACTAATCCAGTTCTATAACTTCCCATTCTCCTGTTAACTAATCCAGTTCTATAACTTCCCATTCTCCTCCCAGCTAATCCAGTTCTATAACTTCCCATTCTCCTGTTAACTAATCCAGTTCTATAACTTCCCATTCTCCTGTTAACTAATCCTGTTCTCTAACTTCCCATTCTCCTGTTAACTAATCCTGTCCTCTAACTTCCCATTCTCCTGTTAACTAATCCAGTTCTATAACTTCCCATTCTCCTGTTAACTAATCCAGTTCTATAACTTCCCATTCTCCTGT